TATACAATATATTATATATTTTTCATTAATTCTATTAATTATAGAAAATATTTTTAATATTTTTTATAAAAGGCAAAATATTATGTTTCGCGAAGATAAATAACAACCCAAATTTTTTTCTACTTAATTTATTTGATAAAAGTTATATATTATATATTTTTCATTAATTCTATTAATTATACATATATTTGAAAATATTTTTTATAAAAGGCAAAATATTATGTTTCGCGAAGATAAATAACAACCCAAATTTTTTTCTACTTAATTTATTTGACATTATTGATAAAAGTTAATTTATAATATTTACATATCTTAATTTATGATAATATATGAGAATCTTTTTACTTTTATTTGAGATCATAAATGTGTTAAGTTAATCAATTAGGAGCGACATGGAGTTAACTTGATATGATTGATTTATACGACTATCGTGAGCTAGCCATTTTCGCTTTCGCTGGCCTAATTATTGAGTTCAATCTATTTGTTAAACACAGTTAGGCGTTGTTTATCCTACTACCAAGCGTAACTAATGATCGTACGGTTCATCGATGCGATAACGCGAGTTCAATAAGTAAAAAGACGAAAGAATGTTGAACAGAAAGCTTTATGTGAATGCGTATATTGCAATCGGATAGATGTGGAATTAAATTATTCTAGCACAACTTTTAAATATTATGTGATTTTTGCTTTTCTGATCATTTCACACAGTAATCTAATTATCAATACATTTTGTTTTCATATTAATGTTAATTTTAGGTTCATGCTGCTTTTATATATCAATATATCAATTTATTATATAACATATATTTTGCAGCACAAAACCTATATTGATTAAATAACTCTCGCTATGCACTAGAAATTTATAATTTAAATTGATTTTTAAAAAAGAATTTTATTTTTTACATGAAAAATCTTTAGAAATATGAAAGTATTATAGAGAAAGAAGAATATCAAGGAGAAGGAACAGGATAAATGTGAAGTTACTTCAAACGTATATCATTTCGTATATTATCCTTTTGTTACGATAAGAGAAAATTTTTACAATTCGTACAAAAATGTGGGTAAATATTTTATGTAGGCATTCCGGTGTACAAATAGCACGTATAGTACATACAACAGGCGTATAATAAGTCTAACTATCTAAAAACGACTATATACCAATGTCTCTCTCGCGTCCGAATTCTAATACATAAAAGTGGGAATGCTATTTACAACGTGCGGTCAACACGACTACGTCTTAAAGCTAGATCAGGATTTCTATTCTCATCCATAGGCAATCTATCGAATCGAAATGACTAGGACGCGTCCGAATCGCTCGTCAATTACAATTTTTTAGAGCAGATTATTCGGCAAACGCGACACAATCGGTCTCTTGTTGCGTGACACATTATTATATCTATATGAAATCTTTATTATAACCGTCGTCATTCGCATAATCCACGTAATCTTGCCGTCCATTAAATCATTGAGAAAGAAACATATCATCGATCTATTTTTAGACAATATAAATCATCGCGAAACAATAAATTACAAAATTGAGAGTTTTGTTACGACGGCAGATTACGTTCGCAATGACGGGACGGATTCGACTAGTTCGACACTCTGATCGGATACCAATTTCTGGTATCAAGAAACGAACATGAAAGAAGAAGGCTTATTTATCATCGCTATAATTACTTCGTTGATGGAGAACAGACAACCTACGCTACGGCTCTAAACGATGCGCTCGATTGGATAACGTTTATTGGCGTTACACATGATATTCTAATCGTATGTAATAGAGAAAAATTTATTATGTAAAATAGTAAATTACACTAATAAACGATCATCGGATTTAAACTTATTTTTATGATATAAAATATATATAATATTATTATATTTTATTTTTATATCTTTTGATAGATAAATTTTCGCATTGTTTGGAGCCGGCTTTTTGCAACCGGTTGCGCAATTCCAAATCACAGATACGCGCTCCCGTGCTTTTAAAAATGTTCCAATACCTGCATTTTAATGCATTCTAAATTTTTTCGACACAACCACAATCTTGCACCGGATGCTGCATCGCTTACTTCGACATTTAATGACCGCAAATATAACTCCGCTACATTCGGCTACACTATATTCTCGCGCATTCGTTGGGATACATTCATTATATTTTGGAAACTTGTCATTTATACGTATTTACATCTTGTAAAGTCGATAGCTGCCTCGAAGAGCCTCAAACCCTTTTCATTTAATGCTAAAATAATAACACGAAGGCACTGCAATTCTATCCGCGTGTCGATAATTAATTTTAATTGCTTAACATTGTGCAATAACTATGTCTTTAAATAGATAAGGTCACAAATTTGGCGTTTAACAAACTCTTATCAGGGACGATCATATGCCTCGAAAATTTCTTCTCAAGTATTCTTATCCGCATGTACTTGTTGGAGCTATGTCGAATATTACACTGTGTCGAATTATACACACGCTGAAGAACATGATCCGATATTTATAAGGCACGGCTTTATATCAACAAATCTCTAAATTAACGGCTTATAGATTTAACATTATGACTAATTACTAGGTGGTCCCTAATTCTTGGAAGATGCTTGGAATAGTATCTGTCACACGCAATACTTGGTTGTTTCCTTACTAATTCGCAATTTTGTTTAATTCATCAGAAATCATCAAAAATAATCAGCATATTCAGATTATCAGAAATAATCTTTGTTCGATCGTAATGAAGGAAGGCTGATATACAGGACATCTGATAACGTCTGCGAAAGTATGAGAATGTCCGGATAATTATGAAATTATCATCAGCAATCATGTATATGATGAAAAAATAACGTTTTATTTCAAAAATGTTTTGATGAAAAAAGATTCACTCTAACTTGATTATTTAAAAACTAATTAATGTCGATAGTTTTGGGACATCTTATACAATCGCTCTTCCAAATTGAATAATGTAAATTTTCTTTGTCAATTTCTCAATTAAATCCTTTCGTAATAGTCTCATAAGAAACGGCGACTTGCGATTACTTTAAAGTAAAAATTTTAATGAATGATTTAAAATATTCCCGTACTTCCTGCTTTAATTTTTCACAGAAAGTCAAGATCTGAAATCCCCTCTAGATAAGATACCCTGGAATTCCTATAAATTTCTAATCGAGTGAATTTAAGAGAATTTCTTATTGTGGAATTTTGTACGAAAGTAAGCATAAAGAATCTCTTTAATACGACAGATTCGATCTAATTGTAGATACCGATCGATTTTAAGCAATGGCCAGGTTTAAAGTCATTCCGGTTTGTCTTGAGAAGGCCGAGGATCTCGTCGGATCGGGATAATCGAACGTAGTTGAGGAACTCTTAATATCGTTTTCGAAACGTAGATGCAGATGCTCCGGATTGGGAGATATCACCGATGTTCTGATGACCATTCTGGATACGTATTCCGAATCCTTCGTCGCCGAATCGGGGCTCTGCCTCTCCTCGTTCGAATCGTTCGGACAGGGCGTTCTCTCTTTGCAGGATCGCTTCGACGGTGTCGCCGCGTCCATCGACCTGGTGTGCCTGATGATCGCGGAGAATGCCGATGATGAGCCCTTCTGGTCTCGGTCGAGTCCTAACCGAGGAACTATGACGCTGGTGGGCGACGCCGTAATGCCACACGGTGTCGTCTGCGGTCTGTTCAAGGACGATAGTAATGGAGCACTCGATTTCACCGATAGCGATGTCGTCTGCTGTTCGATTTGATCGGACTTCTCCGTGGACGATCGGTGATGGGCGCGCATGCAGGATGACTCCTCGTGCTTGTAAAGATAAGACTTTAGGGCAAAAGCTTTGCCGCAACGACCACACACATGAGGTTTGGTATTCGAGTGTGTTTGTATGTGAGCCCGTAAGTTCGATTTGTCGGCAAAAGCTTTGTTGCAAATGGTGCACTTAAAGGGTTTCTCACCTAAAAGACAAAAAATAATTGTTAAAAATATTGAAGTTTTTCTGTATGATCAAGTTCTTCTAAAAAATGCGTTTTTTAAATAATAAATATTAAAAATAGCTGTGCTCTTAAAAGGCGATGCAATGGATTTCGAAATTTTAGACGGTAATTAAAAAGTTTACTTAAAAAATAATGGTAATATAGTAAATAAAAAAAAAAGATTTAAATATTTTCTTTTTCTTTCATACAAATATAAAATATATTTAAAAAATAGAATATATAGAAAAAAAACTTATTTACAATTAAATTAGAACATAAATAATAAAATAGAAAATTGCTCAAGTAATAGATTTTACTTTGTTCCATTTGCTTTTTTTTTGGCTTGAATGTTTCAATTAATCATTCTCAATGTACTACTTAAAGTGCTGAATGATAGATATATTGTTGTATGTCAACGAATCTCACATTTGTGTATCTACAATTTACAGTCGGAAATAGTGTCGCATTCCTGAACGTGCCAAAATCACATGGTGAATGATTAATTTGAATTTGTCTTCATTGAAATTGCTCGTTAAATTTTATAATTTCTTCAAGAATAGAATTTGCCTTAGTTATTTACATAATATCTATTATTGTAAAAAAAAACGTAGTAAATCAGAAATGAAATAACTCCAAGAAATAAAGAGTTTTATTGGATTAAATTAGAGAAACACGAAAAATATATAATTTTTCATAGTTTAGTCACGTTTAATTAAATATATTAATTTATACGATATTTTATTTACAATAAAAGTTATCATTGAAAATGGGGAATAAGGCATCTTTCAGTATCAGAAGTGTATACCTGTATGCGTGCGTATGTGTCCCTGCAGCAGCCACGGCCTAGAGAAGCACTTGCCGCAATAATGGCACTTGCATCCCTGATTGTGGGTTCTCACGTGCATGCTGAATGCCGGCATGCTGACGTAGACTTTATCGCAGTGTGGGCACCTTCTGGCCTTCTTATCGCCCAACGACCTGTGCGTTTGACGATGTCTAGCCAGATTCGACGAAGTCGAGTACTTCTTGCCGCAATCGGGACATTCGTGATCCTCATTCTCCTCCGCCTTGGGCTCCTCGGCAATTGTCCTTCGACCTTGGGACACGGCCGATGATAACGACACCGGTGACGGATCGACACCGACGCTAGAAACGATCGGCACTTTCGAGAAGCTCGGCTCTTCCTGCGAAGAGCAGGAAGGATGTCGCGGCGAAAGACGAATCTCTAGAGCGGTGTTTTCCTCGGATCGACCCTCCAGAATCTCCTTCTCAGTCTCGATCCGTTCGAAGAAGAGCCTCGTCCGTTCGCCCAAGACTTGGTCCTGGTTTTCCATTACCTGGACAGTAGATCGGGACGCCAGAGTCCTGCTCTTCTCTGCAGAATACTGCGCGATTCTGGGAGATACCGGTTGCTGATAGATGACATTGCTGTGGTGAATCAGGGTGCCCGCTGCCGCCGCTAGACTCACTTCCGCCAGCTTTGTCAGATTGTACAGCTCTTCGGGGCATTCGGACGATGTCTCGCTGCCGCACTCGCTGGCGCCATCAGAAGTTGGCTGACCGCTGCTGTAATCGGCCAGTCTCACGCTTCTCTCGGGACTGAAATCTGAGTAAAAATGAAGAAGGATGTAATCGTTGAAATATTTTAACAATCTTTCTGAATCAACAGTTTCTTTTTACTATTAGTAATTTTTTCAATAACAGATATTAATCTGCGACAGGTGTCAAATTAATATTTTAACTGCCTTCTTATTCAATAGATTTAGGTATAATTAACTTTAATTCTAACTTTCTCTCTCTCTTTTTTCTTATTTGTAAAAGATACTCGCTGTCCTTGCAGTCTCTCGATAGTTTGAGTTATATAAACTCCTATTAATGAAACTCCGTTTCAATTACAAATTTACTTGATGCAGATAAGGAAATAAAATTAACGAAAATTAACTTTAATATTTTCAATTTTTAGTTGTTTCCGTATTAAAATGATTCTTAAGTCGATATGAAATATTCTATATTTTACCCAATAAAATATTTTATTGTAAAGTCTTATTAATTTATCTTTACATTTCACAAACACATAAATAAATCTCGTTAGTTTTATATCTCTAATGTCACATTTTATTTTGCATTTTTATGCCAGCAAATTTATCAATTTACATTTTATTGAATCTTTTTTATTATCGTTTCAAGTGGCGAGTCTTTTGATAACTCCCGACTGACTGATTGGCAGAGAAATTCGATGTCGACTCGATTCGTAAAACACGACACACACCTTCGGGAGGAAACATAGCTGCTTCGTTTTCGGGGAGAACGGAAATAGAGTCGTACCGCGACCAACCCCCGCTCGCCCGTTCTTAGTATACCGCGTTTATTCTGCGTATTTCTTAGTACCGTATACGTGCACGCGCGTTGCGTTTGTGAGGAAGTTTGCCTGTCCGCTTCATGGTGAGATTGACGGCATCGCGACGGTATGCATCGTGGTGGGCCCTGATGATTCAGGGTCCACATCTAGCATCCTATTCTTAACCCGCGCGATCCACCACCTTAATTACAAAGCAACGACCAACGGATTTTCTCGATTTAAATTCAGTCGGAAAAAAGAGAATTTATATATGTACCGTGTATATAAAAGTCGAAATTTTAACATCACAAAGTGTTTTTTTACGAGAAATTTCACGTCCAATGATTTCCTCAAAGTTGAATAAATGTCCAACTATTAGAATAAAAAATAAAATTCGGCAAACAAATTTTTATTGCTGTATAAAATTCTTGCAGAAGACCTTTGAGATATATTAATTCAGAATTTAGAGTATAAACTTAAGGGAAATACGAAGAATGTGTTAAACATTTATTTGTTGTATGTATATATGTATATATGTATGTGTATATATATATATATATATCATAAATTATATATGTTACGTATATATAAATTATGATAGATTAAATCTGTTAACGTTCACCATTTAAAAGATAAAATAATTGTCATTGTAATTAATTAGAATGAGATTATACACGAAATCTGATTACTAATTAAGTATCTTATAAATTAACAATTTCATTAGTAGCAATTTTTCTCATGACAAATATTTAATCTAATACAACATGTATATCGCTTTAAGATCTAATACCTTGAAATTATAAATATTTCAGGATTCTTTTTTTAATTTTTGAGCTGATTATTGTAATTTATCATAACTAATCAAATATAATGTGCCCCACTTTTATTTATAAAGCAACGCATCTAATTAACAACATACCTCTTTCAGACCCTCCGATCTCCTCTTCAGCACCGTTGTACCTGCGATGCGTGATCAGAAACGCTCGCGGCATTTTCCTCGTCTTCCTCGATTTTTCCTCTCAGTGCACACAAGCCATCTTATCAATACAAGACTCACAAACTAACACACTTGTCGCACCGACTATCTGCAATAAGGATGACAATACCAAGATAAGTCCGGTATAACGCGATATATCGGGAAGAAGGATTACAATCCGATTCCGGTGGCGTGTACGTCGAGCGGCGCAGGGGTTGTGCGTTCGCTTCGGCAATTTCGGGCGCAATAGTTGCCCCGGCTAAGATTCGGGGCTACATATAGCAGCGCAGCCTCCCTCGCCCTCCGTCGCCGCTGCCGCCGCGGCGCTCTTCGTCATCATCGTCGTCGTCTTCCTCGCCTTCAGCTGCACGCGTCTCAGAAGCGTGTGCCCGCCCGGTTCCCCCGCGCGTGTGGTGGTCCCGTTCGTGTGGCGGCAATGTGCGACACGCGTGACGAGTGTGTCTCGCGGGAGAGCGCGGATGAAAGGACGCGTAGGAGAAACACGACCGGCCCCCGCAACTCGCGCAGGGTGGTTGCTAACCACCCTCCCCTCAACACAAGTTGTCCCGCCATTATCGTTCGTTACCGGATCCCGCGTTATAACAGAAAGATCATTATGATATTTTTTTTTTTATTGGTAAATTAAATTGAACTAGTAAAATCTATCCGGTTCACAAAATAAAATATATTTGTCACTGTTAATTTTTAATAAATGAAATTTTTAACATGCAGACTCCTCCATCAAATTTAATCAAGATTTAGATTTCATCAAAGGATTAACATACTGTGCAAAAGATTAAACAGCACTTTTAATACATAACATTTTACAAAATAGAATGAGATTTTAGTTTTAAAACATTTATAAGTTTTTATAATAATAAAACTTTTAATTTTGATTAACATCAATCATTTATAGCAGTGATAAAAGATGCGACTCATGATGAATTCCTTATATTTCAATCAACCTTTCTATTGTTCTCAAGCTCTTCTAATTCAATCTCTTATTATAGGTAATATTATAATATTACAATATTATACGATGTCCAATTTTTCCGAAAGAACAGAAAAATCAAGGAAAAGGATGAATTTGTATCTACCGTGTATCTAGCAAGTTCAAGAAGATCGGTACTATCAATCTATCTTATTTAAACGGAAGGATGTGACGGCAAGCAGATATGTGATAACGGCGTCATTTCGTCGGCGGCTACAGGAGCAGGTTGGTGCGCTGAGTGGTTCTTCTGGCGCGACGCCAGGCGTCCGCCGAATTTAGCACCGCGGCGCTGACTAACTCGCGTGGCATTCATTCAATCGTCGACCGAAAAGCCCCGCTGCCTCTGTAGTCTCTTGCTCTTTCCTAAAACGATTAGCAAAAAAAAAAAATTAGATTAAGCAAATTAAAATTAGCAAATTAAATTAGCAAATTAAAATTAGATAAATTAAAATTGGATTAAAAAAAGGAGATTAGATTTTGATTCTCGTGAAACTTATCTGAATCTAGATGAATCTGGATTTAGCGAAATATTCGTTAAGTATTATAATATTGAGTGTTTTTCCTCAACGATTTTGATGCAGGTTTTTGCTCAAAAAGTTGATCATAATCATTGTTTATAGCTACGAAACATAATCATTAAATATCTTGCTTAACAATTTAATTCAAATACAAATTTTATAAAATTATCTTAAATTATCTTGATTCACGCTTGAACCATCGATTATTTACAATTTTATTAATAAATCTTTTTTATTAACTGAAAAAGCGATTTAATCAATTAACTCTGCAGCATACATTTAGTCTAATTTACGAGACTTGAAATATGTTCATTTATAGTTTTATTTATTATCAATATATTTTCTGTTTATTTTGTATTATCGTTATTTGTTACTTATATATTAATTTATTATCTATTTATCTATTATAAATAACAAACGTATACATTTGTTTATGAGAAAACTTATAATTTGTACGATTGAAGAGAATTTATAAATTATGATCAAATATTAGATATATTTGCCCCAATTCACGTCATTTTCATACCATACAAAAAAAAAATAGAACAAATTTGAGATTTTTCAAGGCGAAAAACGAAATTAAAGTATTTTATATCAAATGTCTAGGTCAGGATGAAGAATTTGCGAGCTTTCGAAACGGCAAGGAATCTCTAGATGGGAATTGAGGAACAGGTGTCTCGGCGACGATATCGTAAATCGTTGACGGTATCGTCGTCGAACAGCCAAAAATAAAGTCACGAGCTCCGAGAACGTAGATCACAAGCAAGCGAGAGCATCTTCACCACTGACGCAACTCGCAACTCGACAACAGATTGCCTGCCATGCCGCCATCGCACACACTGCCCGCTACAGATCACATCCATTAATGTAACCGGCATCGATAGTGCGAGCACCTCGTGCCTTTCTACGCGCTTTATCCGGCGACTCATCCTACAGGTGCCCCAAAGATATTTCGTGTGCCCACTAGTCGCGTATTTTCAGCTTTCTTGGAGCGTCTCCAGGTGCGAGGGAGGAGGAAGAGATACGCGACGTCGTCGACGACGCAAAGGAGATCTTGACGGGTAAATCACGACTGGTGACCACACGTGCGACTCTCATAAAAGACAACGAAAGAATATATACGATTGCGAGGAAACGACATTTGCTTAGGAGTCAATTGCAATACATCGGGATTAAAGATCGAAAACCTGAAAGGTTTTGATGAGACGATCTTAATAATGATTAAATAGTGATAAATTACAATTGAGGATTTATACAGATTTATTACATCGGGACAAGCTTGTGAGAGAAAAAATCTCCCATTTTAGGTAATTTTTCGTTCAAAAAAAGATGGATAAGTATAGGGGCGGATTTTTTTGCGCCAATAGCGGGACCGCTAGGTCATTAAGAGTGATTTCAAGGGGCGACAGGATCGTTTAAAGCGAAAATGCGTGACTGTATCGTGTGTCGTCTCGTGTGTAAAGTATCCGGATACGCTCGGTTCCTCCTATAAATCAGCGGCCTCCCGCACCCTCCCTCTTTTCCTCAGTGGTAGCAAGTACTTTCCGCGTGCCGGAAAAAAGGGAAAAGCACGCGATCGCTATTTAAAAGGCTCGTAGGTGGGCGGCTTTTTAGCAGTAGTCGGGATATGTATAAAGGCGGCGAGCGCAGGGAGATAGAGAAGGGGAGAGAAAGAGAGAGAGGGAGAGGACTTCGACTTCGCCGCTCCTCCGGCGGCCTCGGCATGGGGTTGCCATGCTATTTTCAGGCTCTGATGGCTCGTTGCAGCTGTCGTGTTCTTCGGGTAAACCACCTCTCTTCTATTCCACGGCCATCCGCAAGACGCGACAAGGTAAGCTAAGAAGATCGGAATCCAGAATCTCGCGACGCGAGAGATGTTCCCTCTCCCCATTGGTGAATTTTTCTTGAAGTCAGACATTCGCCAATTTTACTTCTCGGTAACCGAGGCAGGCAGAGTGAAGCATGTCTTTAACTTTGACAAAATTTTGTTGGAATTTTTTGTTGCATTGGCAGAGAGAGGAAAAGAGAGAGAAAGAGAGAGAAAGAAATTTGAATTGAGTTTTAATAAAGAAAAATTGTAACAGTTCTCTATTTCTTTGTTTTTGTATAAGAAAGTCATGAGCAAAAATTCTTTAGAGAAAAAATAAAATATAATCTTTACTAAATATGAGAATCTCGATACGGTTAAAAAAATGAGTCTTTAATATTATAAATATAGATGTTTTATAACTTTATTTACTATGAATTTAATAAAGAATGTATGCTATTTTTGTTATAAGAAGAGACTTGTCCAATTTATATTGCAATGTAATTAGCAATTGGTATCTATATCAATGTTAACGTCATATGTATAACTACTAAAAGTTCTGCGCCGTACACGATCATAAACATTTATGGGAACGCAAGCGTCATGGAATAATAACCAAAGTCTTACGATCTCCAAGAATTTTCAGAGAACACTTTCGCCTAGATTTTGCAATCGGAATAATCTATAAAATTGTCGGGTTCCGAAAATAGCAACAGATGATGATGAGGACACGCGATGCTTTTCTACGAAAAGATGTGTCGGCAGGAAAGTGGGAATAAAAGTTCTCGTGGATCGGCTTCCGCGGAAGAGCTTTCACTGCTGGAGAATGAGGGATGAAGACGAATCCGAAGATGAGTCGCGAAGACTTGGCGGGATGCCAAACGACAGATTTTCAGCCGACTACGTGTACTCTTTCAACTTTCTCGTCTGCGCTTTCCTTCGACTCCCCTATGCATCCCCTAGGATCTAGGGTGCAATGACACCGAGCGGCGCAGCTTAATTCTCTATTCATGGTCCGTGAATCATTATGCGAGAATACGCTTTACATGTCGATTATTCCTCATTATCGTTATTTTTAGGCTCGTAAGCGAAAAGAGAAAACAATGTGCATTAATAAATGGATGTAAGAATAGAGAGGTGTAAAAAGAGACAGAAAGAGAATGCAAGATAATTAATCATTTATCGCTTTTGCCTAATTTTAGTGCTGAAAAGAGACAAATTAAATAAGATTTAAAATTAACGATTAAGTGATTTATAGCTTTGTATGCGGATTAATAAAAAAACAGATAAATATCTTGGAAGTAAAGATCTGAAATATTTAGACATGGCGAAGAAATATAATGAATTGATACTCTCGATGAATCGAGGGAAAAAAATTGGAAAAAAAGTTCGAGGTGTGCCCCCGGTGGCAAAAACGTCGACCGGAACGACTCTTAATTTAGTTCTGGGTGCAAGAGGTTAACACTGGGTGGAGACGTCCATAGAAGTGCCTCCCTTTAGGGAAGAACATCGTAAGACACGTTGGCTCGTGTTTGAAGCAATGTCCTCGAGGATAAAGGGAGACAGTTCCTTCCGGAGACAGCAATCACAGCCGCCTGTTTCATACCTCCTCGATCGCGTTCTATTCTTATATACCATCATCGGTAGGAAATCAAATACTTGTCTCTTTCTTCGATATTATTGGAGTATTCCTCATCGAGGGAAAGTTATCCAAATAATCATTTGATATTATTTAAATGATATTATTTAATCGAAATTATGCGATGATTGACAGGATAAGGTCAGTTATGTAGAATTTTTATGTATTTATTGAAAATAATCAATTTTTTTGATATTTTTAGATACTTATCTTTATATGCTATTATACTCAATCATTTTTTACATTCTAAATATTTTATATTAAATTAATTAAAATTTTATACGCAATCTAAATATCTTGTATAATTATTTGAAAAAATTCTATTTAATTGATCGACTATATTATTTTATTTTTTAATAAAAACACAATACTTTGATATAATCCAAAGAAAAAATCTTCTTTCGAGACACGATCGCAC